CTGTCCCATCCCTCCCCTTCCCATCCTCTCCCCTCCCTCTAATCCCCTCCCCTCCCCTCCTCCCTCCCATCCCCTCCTCCCTTACCTCGACCTCCGCCAACTCCTCCCCAATGTTCTCAATCTCCCGGAACATCGACATGAGGTTGTTGAAGCCAGATAGAATGTTCTTGCGTGACTCCAGCTTGTCCAGCAGCTGCTTCCACCTCTGCATCACTTCCTGGTCCCTGGACAAGTGCAAGATGGACGTATGTTTAGTTTTAGTAAGAGTTCTAGAGCACTTGCAACACAATAAGATCATATAAGTGCTCAAGATTAGAGGTGTTACAAGAGAGTAACAAACACAAAAAAGGAGGAGGGGAGATAAAGACGATAGATATTTGATAGGAAAGAAGAAGAAAACCACACAACAGCACTCACGAACCACCCACCTAAAGTCAAAACTAGAGTACTTTTTATTGAAATGAAATCTCAACATAATTCATTAAGCCCTGATAATTTGTTCATCTGTCTTACCACAACAATATTATATACAGTACCAACTTGATCTTTTCCAAAACACCGTCATGCATGTTATAGTCTCACTAGCTGGGCCCCCTTTCGATGAAAGGAATGATCGGTGCATTAACATCAGCTGAAAGTCATTGGCCTACTATATTTACACTCTCCTGGAAAGGAGCACTAAATCTTGAGAGATGAAAAAATTAGAAGGTCTAGATCTAGATCTATACTCTCAAAACAAAATGCGCCTTGCGAAATATCACTTCCTGCATATCCACTGTGACGGGCAGCTACGCAAATTTGTTTCGTTTCTCAGTGGAAATGGGAGTTAAAAGTTAAGGAAATACTGCACTACAACAGTCCCAAATATTCTCCACATCCAAAGAAGCATTCAGAGCAAGCTTCTATTTTACAGGCACTCATGTACTAACATACTGACAAGATGTCTTAGCCAGGAACCCATTCATAAACTGATTATAAGTAGAAAATTCACAAAAAGGAGGTTTAGTTTTAGTAAGAGTTAATTTACAGCACTTGCAACATAATAAGGTCATTTAAGTGTTGAAGGTTACAGGTGTTACAAGAGAGTAACAAGCACAAAAAAGGAGGAGGAGAGATCAGGAAAATAGATGTTTGATAGGAAAAGACGGAGCAAACCACACCAGAGCACCTGCCAACCACCCACTAAAGGAGCTTTTTCCCCAACAGGTAATATCAGGCCGTAAAGAGGGACCAGTTAATAATCATAATACCTAAGTTTACAATTTAATTGCTAACATAAGATCCTAAATACTTTCGTAACGAATTGCACAATGCACAAGCCATGATGAGCGCACAATAAATTTGCCGGTCAATTTAAGCGTCATTGTCTCTGGCGTTGACCAGATGACAAGGACATGTGGTTACTTGAGGGAGACATTGCGCTGCCAACAGCGAAATGCTCGCAGCTAAAGGGATTTGAAAACAACAACAAGCGTCATTGCCACAATACTAGGACTTGTCAGTCCGTGTCCCATATATCAACAGGACCCATACTCCCTACTTTAAAGCAGTCGAGTCCAGCAACCAACCTAACCAGTAGGCTAACAAGACCACAGCACCAGCTGGTAAAAACGGGAATCGAACTCACTTCTTTTTCACTTTGTCTTTGGCCCGGTAGTTTCCCTGGACCAGCTCTGTAGCCAGAGCATTCAGAGCCCGGAACCTGTCTTTCTGTGAACGCAACATGGTGCAACAAATATATTAATTATTTTTAAAATTGTGGAACGTGACAACATTCAATTAACTAATATTCTCCCACAAGAACGGGACGTCAAAGTACACAGAACAGCGATGAAACCAACATTTTTCCGCTTGATGGGACACTTTTATCAATTAAATGTTTCGGCTCAACAACTTTTAAGTCCATTTCAAAACACATTAAATTTCTGTGTGGGTTCTACTGGAAAACATTGATCAAAGGCACAAAAAATGTGAATTTGTAATTTCCAAGGACACTTAAGCTTTGGAAGTCACAAAACTGAGGCAGCTATTTTTCTGCTGACTAATTCTACCTCTGACACCAGATGACCCCCACCTCCATTAATCACAAATATCTCAATTTATATTCAACATAGATGAGTATTTTCTTTCATAAAAAAACAAGATTAATGTACGAGCTTTAAGATGATACCAATAACTTCGTATGACCAAAAACTGCCAAGCACCCAATTACCCAATTCCACATTTCTGGGTTTTTTTAAACTACATAACAATATATTTTATAGTAATAATCAAAACAATATAATTGATTGCAATGATCAAAACAAAGGACAAAACTAGACAGACAGACAGACACGCTGATAACCCAACGTACTCTGGCCAGGATCTCAGCGCTGATAGCCTCGTGTTTCTTGACGGCCGCCTCTGTCTGGGCCGCGTTGTTACACTGTATCTGTTCTTGGAGGATTTGCTCCATGTCGCTGAGCCACGTCTCTCTGATGGCAGCCTGGGGGGATAGAGAGAGAGAAGGGGTGAGTTAATGGAGGAGAGAGGGAGAGAGAGGGGAGAATGAGTGAGTGTTGCGTTGTTACACTGTATCTGTTCTTGAAGGATTTGCTCCATGTCGCTGAGCCAAGTCTCTCTGATGGCAGCCTGGGGGGATAGACAGAGAGAAGGGGTGAATGGAGGAGGGAGGGAGAGAAAAGGTGAAAGGAGAGAGAGAGGGGAGAGTGAGGAGGAAGGAGGGTGACAGAGAGGAGAGTGAGTGCGACATTGTTACACTGTATCTGTTCTTGGAGGATTTGTTCCATGTCGCGGAGCCACATCTCTCTGATGGCAGCCTGGGGGGAGGGAGAGAAGGTGTGAATGAAGAAGGAAGAAGAGAGAAAAGTGGTGAGAGAGGGAGTGAAGAAAGGCAAGAGGGAGGAAGGTAGAAAGATCAAATATATGCCATTGGTCAGGTCTCTCTGATCGCAGCGTAGGGAGATGGAAAGAGAGAAGGAGAGGGAAACAGAGGGAGAGAGAGAAAACACAGGCTACAAAAGAGATGAGTTAACAAATCATCATCATCCAGTGCCAGATTTGCGACAGACATCGGCGATCATGGTTTTCCATTCATTCCTTTGCTCGGATGCTCTCAAAAAAGCTACGTTTTCCTGATCTTTCCCTGTTACCCATTTGTTTAGGTTCCCTAAGTATGTTGTTCTGGGCCTACCCCTGCCTCGCTTGCCCTCAATTTTGCCAGTGAGAGCTAGATGTTCAAGACCCTTATGTCTATTCAGGTGTCCCAAAAACTGCATTTGTCGTTTCCTGATTGAGTTAACAAATACAACGACAATAACAAAAGCAACAAAAACATCATCATGCAAAAGTAACAATGAGCCAGTCTCCAGTCTTTTTTTTTTCTTTAGTACAGGTTTTACAGCGCTCGTAACTGCATACGGTCATATGAGAGCCAAGGGGTGAATGTCAACACAGAAGTCCTTACAGGGAATCAGACTTACTCTGCTCACCTCTCTAGCTTCAACAGCTCAAAGTCTGCTTCGACTGTCAAGGCACCCCGGAAATAGCGGGTCACAAGAGTGTGACAAACATACAAAAGAAGTAGAGGACAAATTACGATAGTAAAGATTAGGAAAGAAAAAGCAGCATTTCCCTGTTGCAGTTCAGGCACAGCTATGAGCTTGATATTGATGAATCAGCCTATTTACAACAATAATTCTACTGTGCATAGGAGCTTGAGATGTTAATCCCCCCCCCCCTTTTGGGAATGGCCTAAAGACACTTCAGTCAGTAGCACTGCCCCAGGGGGTAATCTCCAGTCTAATGAAAACAACACCAACAACAGCTACAGCAACAACAATGGCGACAACAACAACAAAAACAAAAACAACAACAACAACACCACCACCATCATCACCTTGCGAGAGAAGCGATGAGCTAATTGGTCCAGCCTCTCCTGTCTGATGAGCTCGTCTTTGAGCGCCACCTCTCGGCCGTGCTCACTCTTCTCCAGACGAAGCCAGGCCGTCTCGATGTCGTGGATCAACATGCCCTCCGGCGGCACGTACTGCTTCTGGCCATTGGCCTTGAGCCGCGCCTGGATGTTGAAGTACTGGGCTTCTATGTTGCCTTTTTCACGATATCTGACGGGAGAAAATGAGAAAACAAGAATAACTGAAATTCTAAGCATCATCGAAGAAAATTTACAAAGCCTTTCTGTTGAGAAAATGAGAAAGATTCTTAAAATTCTAATCACTAAAGAAGAAAATTTTGCATTGTCTTTCTAATAAGAAAATGAGAACAACTGTTAAAATTCTAATCACCAATGAAAAACAGTCTATGTTGCCTTTCTCGCAATATTGTAAAGATAACAGTCATGAAGGACACCATAACAGGCCCACAACCTGACTCTCATTCAAGCCACTCGACTTGCTGCAGATAGACGAGCGTTTCTCCCCGCCACACTCACCGAAGAGGACAACCATTATATTGCCGTTCGCTGACAAAACGTCTTTTTCTTATATACAGCAGTTCAGAGAAATCAGCTTATTTTCCGTTTTTCTATAATATTTCAACTATTTGTGCACAGTTCATCAACGGTTGACTTTGCACCTTGAAGAGAAACCTCGCTCCCTGTGCTCGACCGATACATGTATTTTACGAGCGCAATTACGTAAGAAAACCGAAAATAGCTGATATCTCAAAACTGATGAGAAAAAGAAAAAGGCGTTTTGTCAGAGTACGACAGTATACCACACACCTGTATCAAGAATCATGTTTTCTCATCAAAAACATAAATGTCACAGCATCTCACCACTCTTTTTTTTAAATGCATGTCGTTGTGGTTCTGAGCTTTAGAGCTTTTGTAGGTGTATGTGTGTGTGTGTGTGCGTGTTTTGTAAGCGCCACCCACCGAGCACTTTTTGTGAATTCTGGCACCTTATAAATTCAAGTCGTAGTCGTAGTCGTAGTCGTAGTTGTAGTCGTCGTAGTCGTAGTCGTAGTCGTAGTCGTAGTCGTAGTAGTAGTAGTAGTAGTAGTAGTAGTAGTAGTAGTAGTAGTAGTAGTAGTATCATTATTATTATATACTATCTACTCTTTCTACAGATCGAAATACGACACTCCATTTCACTGGACGAAAGCAGAAGAAGATAAAAGCCTCTCTTTGGGGATTGATTGAGGGATTGATTGATTGCACAAATTTTACACCCTGTTGAAACAATTTAAATGATTGAGGAGGCAGGCTACTTCAACCCCACCCCCACCCCCCTCACCCTC